ATTGTTTCAGAGATAATACTTTTAACATTCATCGCATTATTATTATTACTTTTTTAAACCAGACAGGCTCCTTCTCCCTTGTTAAACTAGAAATGTGTATAAGTGGGGTTGCCGCTGAATTCCCGAAGGTTTTTCTTGTGTCCAGGCGCCTAACTGACTTTTAACCTGTCATGTGATAAAAGAATTCTTCCTTCCGAGTGTCACGTACAGCTTGGCATAGGGAATGAAACCCTCGGTATATTTGTCACATTTGATCATAACCCTCCCCAGGGAAAGACCCCGGTCGTGTTAGTGAATTACCTTGCTGTCTCGACTATCAATTCATTTGTTCCGTTTTATAACGGCTTCGTTTAAATTGTGACAGATTTCCCGTCAGTTTCTTTCTTCCGTCGGGCTTTCCTTTTCTAGCTGCTGCTGAAAGTTCTTACCACTCTGGGATTGTAAAATATCAAATAGAAGGCAAGAAAGGATGGCAGATGATCCCAGATTGTTCAATTTCTGAAGAATTTATAGATGGGGTACCTGTACTGACAAGACCAGCCGGGAGAAGCCTCAAGTCCGATGTGGGTATGAATGTATGGGTATGGATGCGGATGTATGGGTACGGATGTATGGATACGGGTGTATGGGTATGGATGTATGGTTATAGATGTGTGGATACGGATGTATGGGTATAGATTATGGCTATGTATGTATGGGTATGGATGAATGGGTATGGATGTATGGATACGGATGTATGGGTATGGATGTATGGACACGGATGTATGGGTACGGATGTATGGGTATGGATGTATGGATACGGATGTATGGGTATGGATATATGTGCATCTACCGATCAGTTAAGACGAAATGAGTTAACTGCAGTCAGCAAAGTAGCGCGTAAAGAACCCTTTTCCATGCAGTCAGCTTTCCTGTATTGGGCATATAGAGCTAAACCTCAATATTCTTTTAGACAAACCGGCACTCGATAAGTGATATGGTCAAAATCACGCCGGCCGTCTTCACTTCCCATACTTTACCTGATGCCCATTTAAGGCTAGGTCGACATGCGAACCAAGGTCATCTTTGAAAAAAGTCCTGCTCCGTCAGCATCAAATTTCACGACCTTCAGATCCGCAGGCGAGCGTCTAGTCACTACGCCACGGCGGGTTGCTGCGGTGGAGTTATACAAGTAGGAAAAAGATTTAACAAAAGTTGCAGTAGGTAGAGGAAAAGAAACGATAGAGAATGGTAGAAGGAATTTTTAAAGCTAACATATACTTTACGGTTGTCTAACCATTTTATGTCTTATCTCTTTTCTGTCTTTGCAATTTTGTTAAAGACGTTAGTCAAGAGGCATAGGTCTGCCCATTTTGTAGCGAAGGTCGATGGTTCAGGTTCTGACACTCGCCCCCTCCTTTAAATGAAAGGACTTTGGCTTCCAGGTCGACCCTGCCTTAAGTGGGTACAGGGTAAAGTCACGGCAAGTGAAGGCGGTCGGTGTGAAGATGACCACGCCAACGACCAAGTGCCGACAGGTTTTTGAAATATATAGGTCTAGCCCCATGTTCCGCCTGAAGGAGTGGGAAAGGATCCTTTACTTTTTTCCAGACGCATCAGATTTATATAGTTACTAGGGGCGTGTGAGGATAGAGGAGTGTGTACTGTCGCGGGGGTGGGCGTGGGGGTGGCTGTGGTGGCGCAGTGGATAGCCGCTTACTTTACCTCGGCCTGCCATTTATGTCATGTCCTTTCATCTCCCAAGATCACAGTCCTGCTCCACCTGCTATTTATGTCATGTCCTTAAATCTCTCAAGGTAACAGTTCTGCTAGACCTGCTATTTATGTCATGTCCTTTCATTTCCCAAGATCACAGTCCTGCTCCACCTGCTATTTATGGCATGTCCTTTTATTTCCCAAGATCACAGTCCTGCTCCACCTACTATTTATGGCATGTCCTTTCATTTCCCAAGATCACAGTCCTGCTCCACCTGCTATTTATGGCATGTCCTTTTATTTCCCAAGATCACAGTCCTGCTCCACCTGCTATTTATGGCATGTCCTTTCATTTCCCAAGATCACAGTCCTGCTCCACCTGCTATCTGTCATGTCCTTTTACCTCCCAAGATAACAGTCCTGCTCCACCTGCTATTTGTCATGTCCTTTTACCTCCCAAGATAACAGTCCTGCTCTCCCTGCTATTTATGGCATGTCCTTTCATCTCACTAGATCACAGTCCTGCTCATCCTGCTGTTTACATCATTCCTTGTATCTCCCCAGATCACAGTCCTGCTCACTCTGCTGTTTACGTCATTCCCTTGCACCTCCCCAGATCACAGTCCTTTTGCACCTGCTGTTTACATCATTCCCTTGCACCTCCCTAGATCACAGTCTTGCTGCACCTGCTGTTTACATTATTCCCTTGTATCTTCCCAGATCACAGTCCTTTTGCACCTGCTGTTTACGTCATTCCCTTGCACCCCCCCCCCCCAGATCACAGTCCTTTTCCACCTGCTGTTTACGTCATTCCCTTGCACCTCCCTAGATCACAGTCTTGCTGCACCTGCTGTTTACATCATTTCCTTGTATCTCCCCAGATCACAGTCCTGCTGCACCCGATGCTTACGTCATTCCCTTGTATCTTCCCAAATCACAGTCCTGCTGCACCTGCTGTTTACGTCATTCCCTTGCACCTCCCTACATCACAGTCTTGCTGCACCTGCTGTTTACGTCATTCCCTTGTATCTCTCCAGATCACAGCCCTGCTGCACCCGCTGTTTACGTCATTCCCTTATATCTCCCCAGATCACAGTCCTGCTGCACCTGCTGTTTACGTCATTCCCTTGTATCTCCCCAGATCGCAGTCCTGCTGCACCCGCTGTTTACGTCATTCCCTTGTATCTCCCCAGATCGCAGTCCTGCTGCACCCGCTGTTTACGTCATTCCCTTGTATCTCCCCAGATCGCAAGTCCGCTCAATGTCGGTCCAGGACATGACCACATCATGGAAGTATTCGATCCAGGAGATGCCCGTGTCGTCGCTGGCACCGGTGCCCGATGCCCTAGTTCTGTGCCCTGTGGTTTTCTCCAACAGCACACATGCTTACCAGACATTGTTCCTGGTGGGTGGTAACATGTTGTTGTCATTGTTGGTTTTCTTGGTTGGTTCTATGTATGTATTGTTTCTGTGGTTATTGTTTTATCGAATATTTATTGTTTACGTTGATGGTTATTGTTTCTGTGTTTATTGTTTCAGTGGCTGGTTATTTTTATGTGGTCGTTGTTTCTGTGATTTTTTTTTTTCTGTGGTTATTATTTCAAGGGTTATTTTTTTTTCTCTCTCTCTAGTAGTTATTTATGTGAATTTCCCACCCCCCCCCCCCCCACTCATGGTTTTTGTTTGTTTCCTTACTGTTTTTCTGGATAATATTTCTGTAGGTTCTTTAATTACATGGAAAAGAGAGCTAGAAAGTAAAGCCAAAAAGAATGTGGGGGGGGGGGGGGGGATGACAGGCTCTGTTACTATTTTTTATATAGCCTAGATATTCAAAGTCTGTGACATTTTTAATTTGTCCTATGGCACACATAATCAGTCAAACAAACGGAAACATATAAGTACTTGGGTGCAAACTTCAACTGCTTTAACAAGCTAAGAGAAGAAATATAATCTAGAATACAACCTGGAAATAAAGTTTACAATGCCCTTCAACATCTGCTAAAGTCAAAGTGTCTGTCTCGCAACACCAAGTTCTAAATATATAAAACGTTACAAAGACCAGTCGTTTTATGTGGCTCTGAAACATGGAGCACAACTAAAAGACATGAAGCATCATTACAAATTTTCAAAAACAAGAGTCTTACGACGAATCTTCAAAGATGTAAACAGCGGGGAATGGAGAGTGAGAAGCAACAACGAAATTCATCATCTGTTTCAATCACCACTGGTTATTGGCATCACGAGAGCTAATGGGTTGAAATGATTCGGGGCTGGGGCATAACGAGAGAGAGCTAGATGACAGAGAGGTAAAAACTGTATACACGAGGGAGATTATTGGTTGTAGACCACGAGGCAGACCAAGAGGACGATGGAGAGATAATGTCTAGACAGACCTGCAAACACTTGGTTTGACTAACTGGAAAGAGAAGACCAACTAGAGAGCCGAAGAAGGCGGCTGATATCTGCAGTAATGAAACTCAAGGGCTCTGAATCAAGAAGAAGAAGAAAAAGAAAAAGATATATAATAATAATTTAGAACGAATTATCTTCGTCTTCCACAGTTGTGGGTTTCTGCTGTATAACAAATATGGCTAATGATTACATCCAGTACACGGGTGTAAAACGATAAATGTCGGAGTTGTGTGCTTAGCGCACTGAAGGTCGTGGGTTCATTTCCAGACTGTGTCGATCGATCCACGTGTGCTGCTTTTTGTAAAGACACGGTGGATCGTCACCAGGGCTACGGTGTGTCTGACGCTCTCTCGGCATGCAGGCAGCTAGCTGGTCTGCCTAGAAAGACTGGGCCATATGGAGAGGAAAAAAAGTCGATCCTTTATGCTTCCAAGTACACTTATTCTTGCAGTGAGACTAACGTAATTTGGATGTGACGGGTGCGATTCCTCTAGCTTTCGATTGCTATGTTACCCAACGCGTTAGCGCAGTCGATAGGAGACTTACTTTCGAATGCAGCCGCGACTCGCAGCCCACAGTTTCCTATCAGCTGTCCGTGGGTAGGTAGGTAAGTAGGTAAGTAGGTAGGTTGTCTCCACCAGGACATCACACAAGTGGTAAACACCTGGTGACACAAAGTACCACCATGCGGATGAGGATCACCCGTGGATTGGTCCCAGAAATCACTTTCAGCCGTTATGCCATATTTATGGCCCGGCTATATTCAGGGCCCCCGGCAGAAGCCAGGGTGGGGCTTTAAAAAACAAAACATTGCATCCCACAATGACGACGACTTTAATCTCAGCTGTCCGTACTCATGGCAAAGCACTTATAGTTTATAACCGTGTGCAATGATGCTGGTTCACATCTCCCGACTTCAGCGCGTCCTTCTACCCCCTACGTTTTTTCTTAGAGTGCGAGTTGATGCATGTCTGTTTATAAAGCAATTTTTCGTCTGGCAGGTCCAGCAGAACTACAAGAAAGCCCACGCCTATCTGTCTCTGGTCATCTGCACCTATGGTGTCATCACCAACATCATTAACATCGTGGTGCTCACGAAGCCGAAAATGAGGAACAGCATCAACTGTATCTTAACTGGTGTGGCTGTGGCAGACACCATCACCATGACCTCCTACATACCCTTTGCCTACTTCTACTACTTGATGAACCCGGATACCAGGTAAGTACCCTATTTTCCGTGCATAAGACGATGTAATTGACGGACCCTTTTCCACGCATTTCGGATTATTGGGCGTGTAGGGCTCGATCTATATTGTGTAGACCAAATGGCACTTGGTGGATGATGAGGTCAGCACCATGCCGACTGCCTTTACTTCCCTGGACTTAATTTGGTACTCATTTAAGGCTGGGTCGACCTAGGAGTCAAGTTTTGGTGGGTGGGGGGGAGGGGGGATTCGGCTTAGACTGGATCTGAAGCCACAACCTCCCGATCCGCAGGCGAGCGTCTTTGGAGACCAATCAGTTTACCCAAATTTGTTATGTAGGTTAATATAAGTTTTACCCCACCAGGACATCACACAAGCGATAAACACCCGGTCACACTAAGTGCCACCATGGAGAGGTCCCGGAATTTCCGTTCAGCCGTTAGGTTGAATGTGTGCGCGTTACGTCCAGTGTCCCTCATGTAACTGTTCGGTACGAAACAATTCAGCATACGTTTCTTAGCCATTCCAAACATAATATGACCTTCCTGTATGAAATCACATCATCATCAATCAGCACGTCTTTTACAGAACGTCGCTCCTCTTACAGGTCATCAAAGAACAACAAATGAAGTGGTTTGGACACCTAACAAGAATAACCTGGTACTATCTGCACAGCGAGCCACACTTAAACGTTACACCTTGAATATAGCTAGCTGGAGACCTCGGAAAATATGCAGTGATGGCATTAAGAACAGCCTTACAGAAATGAATGTCAGTTTTAATAGTGCTCTTGATAGAATTCATCAAGGAACCTTACATCAGTAACTTTTTTTGTTTCCTCTGTTTCCTACACTCCCGCCTTTGGTTTTCGTATGTGAAGGCCACAGGTCTCTGAAGTAAAATCTTCCAATGTCCATAGAGCTTGATTTTCACCGGAACGTTAACTAGTCACACACGGCTCTACTGTGTTTGGAGCCTGCACATATTCAGTTCACTTGGGTGCCTGTCCACATCGGGACAGTTGCGATTCCGTTATGTTGTTGTTTTTTTAAACATATTCTTTAGTGCCACACTGAATGTGAAATATGTAGGCGAAATTTGTTAACATATAATCGATATCCTAATTTGGGCACGTTTGGTTGCCCGGTACTCTGTGATGATGTGGTCTCAAGGTATCAGAGACTCCTTCTATCTACTTCTTGGTCGTTCCTTTTTTTTCGGTGTGCTATCTCGTTTCTGACCTCGGTGTTTAACAACATTAATTTCAACCTCCTGACCTGTGTTCTAATTTGCTGACTGGGATTTCATTTTTACCTTAGATGAGCATACCACATGTGTGTAATCCCTCTCTGTCAATCCTAAAGGATTTGTATTCTCTGTCTTCAAACTTGTTCTTTGGTGCCAGGTGTGTCCCTTAAAGGCAGGTAACATAACTAACAACAGAAGAGACTGTGATAAGACAGTCAGCATAACTAACAACTGAACAGACTGTGACAAAACAGTCAACATAACTAACAACAGAACAGACTATGACAAGACAGTCTACATAACTAACAACAGAACAGACTATGACAAGACAGTCAACATAACTAACGACAGAACAGACTATGACAAGACAGTCAACATAATTAACAACAGAACAGACTATGACAAAACAGTCAACATAACTTACAACAGAACAGACTAAGACAAGACAGTCAACATAATTAACAACAGAACAGACTATGACAAGACAGTCAACATAACTAACAACAGAACAGACTATGACAAGACAGTCAACATAATTAACAACAGAACAGACTATGACAAGACAGTCAACATAACTAACAACAGAACAGACTATGACAAGACAGTCAACATAACTAACGACAGAACAGACTATGACAAGACAGTCAACATAATTAACAACAGAACAGACTATGACAAAACAGTCAACATAACTTACAACAGAACAGACTAAGACAAGACAGTCAACATAATTAACAACAGAACAGACTATGACAAGACAGTCAACATAACTAACAACAGAACAGACTAAGACAAGACAGTCAACATAACTAACAACAGAACAGACTATGACAAGACAGTCAGCATAACTAACAACAGAACAGACTATGACAAGACAGTTAACATAACTAACAACAGAACAGACTATGACAAGACAGTCAACATAATTAACAACAGAACAGACTATGACAAAACAGTCAACATAACTAACAACAGAACAGACTAAGACAAGACAGTCAACATAACTAACAGCAGAACAGACTATGACATGACAGTCAACATAACTAACAACAGAACAGACTGACAAAACAGTCAACATAACTAACAACAGAACAGACTATGACAAGACAGTCAACATAACTAACAACAGAACAGACTATGTCAAGACAGTCAACATAACTAACAACAGAACAGACTATGACAAGATAGTCAACATAACTAACAACAGAACAAACTATGAAAAGACAGTCAACATAACTAACAACAGAACAGACTATGACAAAACAGTCAACATAACTAACAACAGAACAGACTATGACAAGACAGTCACCATAACTAACAACAGAACAGACTATGACAAAACAGTTAACATAACTAACAACAGAACAGACTATGACAAGACAGTCAACATAATTAACAACAGAACAGACTATGACAAAACAGTCAACATAACTAACAACAGAACAGACTAAGACAAGACAGTCAACATAACTAACAGCAGAACAGACTATGACATGACAGTCAACATAACAACAGAACAGATTATGACAAGACAGTCAACATCAGCTAGAAAATGTAAAAAACGCAATGAAGCAAAATATCAGAATGGGGTCCACAAGAAGAGAATTAGTCCAGCAGTGAATCATCCCACACTGGATCCCTAGAAAGGGAACGGCAGAACTTGCGAATGCTACAGAAAACCCTATGCGGCCCCATCTGTCGTAGAACTCTAAAACGCCAAATACACTTAAAACAATCTATGAAGTTGAACTGGAGAAAAGACTGCAACAATTACAGACCAGAGCGTAAGGCGAGGAAAGAAAAACGATACAAAACAAAATTCCCTTTGTATGATTATCTTTGTTCGATTACAGAAGGTAAATGTCAGTACAAGAAAATTGCTGGAAAAAGGACATGGGAAAGCAAAGAGATAGATACCTTGATAGCTTGACACCATGCATGGGGCGGTACAAGAGTAGCGCCCAGCCCTAGACTGAGTTAGATGAGTTGAGTTGATTCAAGAACCGACATCACATCACTCGGGGCATTACCATAGGCGCCCTGTCCCCATCTTCAGCAGCCAGTGAAGAGTTCTGATACTAATGGTGCTAGTAGCATTCTGATTAAACGTCCGTCTTGCCTTTCCAGTGAACTTCGAGCATCTGCCAGAACCTCTCGTCACTGCCCACTGCATGTATTTCACCTGACTGTGGTGATCCATCTACTCCTCCGAACTGTACACGCTCTCCCACAAGGCACTAACCACGTCTGCCTTATCATGTATCAGTATTCCACCAAGTTGTGCAGATCCAGCCAGTCTGTCCACACGTTCACTTCCCAGCACACCCGCGTATCCCGGTGAAAAAAATCCAGACAATAATTCTCACCAGTATCCTCTGCCGTGAAGCATGCCACTCTGCACGAAGCATGTATGTCCTGACTTTCCTTAGCGTGCTTTCTTAGTCAGTTACAATCACGATGTGTGTATGTGTGTCGCGTTCTCCACCCAGTGGAAAGCTGCAGTGACCGCCTTCACCTCCATTCTTAAGCTGGATGTTGTGGTATCATATGCTAGGCTCTCCTGCACTAAACGTCGACTATTAACCTTTGCTAAGAAGCCCCAAGCACTTCTTTTGACACTGAACCGTTTGTGTAAATGATCAAATCCTCTGAGCGAGCATTATCTTTCCTAGATCAATCCTAGACTCTGCTGATCGTGTAGGGTGGCAGATGGTGACCGCCTATGATTTTCCGCATGGCACACGATGATGAGGGTATTTGTATGGAGAGAGAAAGGGAGGAAAATGGATGGGGGGGGAGGCTGGGAGATTTGTTCACTGGACAATGAGCGGTGGGCCAAAGGAAAAATTGGCCTGGACAAGCGGTTCTCAACCCTTGGGTCGCGACCCTTTTGTGGGTCGAACGACCCTTTCACAGGGGTCGCCAAAGACTATCGCAAAACATATATTTTTTAATGTTATAAAGTAGCAACAAAAATAATTGTATGCTTGGGAGTCGCCACTACACGAAGAACTGTATTAAAGGGTCGCAGCATTAGGCAGGCTGAAAACCACTGGTTTAGACCATCATCATCATGATGTGCCCTGCCAACTGTCGTCTCCACAGATCACGATCCCTGGTTGCCTGGAATATCTCTCTTGATGGTATCCCTCTATGCCATCGTTTTAGCCCACCCAGCATCATCTCTCTAGGTCTGTCTCTACCCCTTTATCTACTGATCTTTCAAGTTGTCACGAGATTCTTCAGTGTCTCTCTTCCCTTGATGTGGCCAAAGAACAGTGTTTGTCTCTTTCCTATGGTTGTATTTAGAGATCTACTTTCATTAGCTTCTTTCAAGCAATCATTGTTAGTTATTCTGGCCGTCCAAGGTATTCGTAACATTCGTCTCAGAAACCACATCTCTGTTGCTTCCAGATTATTCCTCATTTGTGGTCTAGACCATGACGTGGACATTTGGTAATCAGTCTGTCCAACGGGCCACTCTTTATCATCTGGTCTTAACAGAATATGTGAAGCCATAAAATGTTACACATGTTTAGGTTATATAATTGTACCTTATTGTAATATTAATGTCATTTCTGTATTTTATATATATATATATATATATATATATATATATATATATATATATATATATATATATATATATATATATATATATATATATATATATATATATATTTTTTTTTTACTGATCATTTATTTTCACCGCAACGACATAATCTTGTTTTCCCTTTTGTTGTTTTTTGCTTTGCATTTTCACAGCCGTACATAATTTTTGTTTTCCACATTTGGGTGCCTAACTGCAACAGTAACTATGTTTCTATTTCCCAGAATCGTCAGTCTACCCTGGAACACGTTCTTGGCCGTTCACATGAACCTGACCTTGATCTCCCACACGTCCTCCATCTGGCTGGGTGTTATCATGGCCGCCATGCGCTACTTCTTCGTCCGCCCCACTACGCGAGGGGCGCAAACCCTGGACTGTCGCTCCACTCTGCCAGTGATCCTCATCACGTTTCTAGGAGCCGTCCTGCTCATCATCCCCAACTGTCTGGCCACCGGGCTCGAACCCTGCTACAACAACGCCACCGGTTTGGTTAACTGGCATCTCTCGCTACCCAGCTTCGGTCAGGGAGGCAACACGCTGCACACCATCACCTTTTTCATCTACCCGGTGGCCGGGAAGATCGTCCCTTGCACTCTCATCTCCATCTTCGGAGGGCTTCTGCTTCATACACTCAGGGAAACGGACAAGAGGTCGCGGAGGTTAAAGGGCGAGAGTTCAAGCGGTAACAACGGGCACAGCCAAACTAGAAGGACAACAATCATGCTTTTGGCCATTATCGCTCTTTACCTCATCTCCGAGATCCCTCAGTCGATTCTCGTTCTTTTGTGCATTTTTGTTCAAGACTTTTTCACTGATGTCTACGGTCTATTGGGAGACTTTATAGACCTGTTGACTCTGTTGAACACCGCGTTTAATTTCATCACCTACATCGCGATGAGCAGTCAGTTCCGAAACACTCTTGTTGAAGTCAGCCTAGCGTGGGCGAACACACTCCTTTGTCAGACGTGGTCAAGCAATAGCGTTTCTAGTTCGCCCAAGAGCCCAAAGAGTAAACCAACAGCGGTTTGATCGACTGTGCTCTGGTGGTGGCTGGTGGGTAGGAGCTGCGGAACTGCAGCTTCTTATCTCGGAAACACAGGTTAAACAGACAGTGTGCGCCTGCGCAAAAGAAACCTACCCACAAACCGCCACTGCTGTGCTATAATAGTATCTGTATTGACTCAAGACACTTGTTACATATGGTTCCTTTGTAATAGCTCATTAGTGTATGTAGTAATTGGTAGCATTCGAAAAACAAAATTGCAGTTTCGCATTCCCGGACGTAATAGTGTTGATTTCCATAACCCTGGTCTATTAACGATGGTTTTGTTAACTATTGTTTTTTCTTTAAACCTTTCTCATGGCATCAGGACAGTGGTAAGAGAGTTTCACCGTGGAGGATACTGTGGTCTTAGCAAGTAATTTTTAAACAGAGCTTACCTTTATTGTAGGGAAGGCACTTTCATTCAGCACATTGTAAGGAGAAACCGATGATTGTATGAGACATGTCAAAGACATTCCCAGCGTACCAGCCCCATGATGCCTCGTGGTGACATTCCGACAAGCCTACCCAGCGTACCACCGCCATGATGCCTCGAGGTAACGTCCCGACAAACATACCCAGCGTACCATCGCCATGATGCCTCGTGGTGACGTCCCGACAACTACCCAGCGTACCACCGCCATGATGCCTCTTGGTAACGTCCCGACAAACCTACCTAGCGTACCAGCGCCATGTGGGCTTTTGGTAACGTCCCGACAAACATACCCAGCGTACCACCGCCAAGATGTCTCATGGTAACGTCTCTACAAACATACCCAGCGTACCACCGCCATGATGCCTCGTGGTTACGTCCCGACAACTACCCAGCGTACCAGGGCCATGTCTTGTCTAACGTCCCAACAAACCTACCCAGCGCCATGATGCCTCGTGGTAACGTCCCAACAAACCTACCCAGCGCCATGATGCCTCATGGTAACGTCCCGACAAACCTACCCAGCGCTATGATGCCTCATGGTGACGTCCTGGCAAAAGTACTCACGTCCTAGGGTTTGATTGCCGTGGTGACAGTTTACAAAACCATTCTTTTAGTATTTGGACACTAGTATGGGAATCGCAGGGTGGAAGAGACTGGTGTCTGACAACCTGATATTCCTACAGACAACAGCGTCTGTGAATGACTGTGTATTTTACTCGTCATACATTTGTCGTAATGTAAAGTACCAGACCTTTTTTTTCACGCCTTTAGGCGAATTGGACATATAGGGCTAGACTTGTATTTTATAGACCAGTTGGCACTTGCTGGATCATATGGACAGCATCACGCCAGTCGCCTTTACTTCCCAAGATTGCACCTGGTACCCACTCAAGGCTAGGTCGACCTTGGAGCCAGGGTTATTTTTGAAAAAATGTCGGGCTCTACATTTGTGGTATTGATGTTTAAGAATCTTCTGCACCGCCAGATTGCTAATACCACTTATATTCTTTCTACAACTGCAGGGTGTATTTTTAAATGACTCTATTTGGTTTTTTTTTTTTTTTTTTTGAGAAAAATTTGCCGTTTCTATTTTTGTAATTACCGTCTGTAGAGTTAATGCAACGTTTGCTGCTACCATCATCATATAGCAGGTCCTTTGCAGAACGTCGCTCTCATCACGGTCTGTTTGAAAGAAACTCGGTCTCTCGCCAGCTCTCCCGCCTCATGCACTTTCATACTCAAGAAGTCACTTATGTCCTGTGCCCATCTTTATGTGTTCGGCCCCTGCCCCTCCTTCCTGATACCATGCCTTCTCTTATTATTTTTTTTCCAGTCCGTCGTGGCGCTTGATATGACCAAAATATTTTAGCTACAGAGACAGGATGCTTGCTGTTTATTAGCCAATCTTCCTTGATGTTCAGATCTTTCCAGATGTCAGTATTTCTCCTCTTCTTTGTCTAAGATATTCTGAGAATCTTTCTTATACTGCTATAGTGTGTCTTATTTTGGGTACTGTTTTCCTCATTACAGCTTTATTCACAATCGATTCTACTGGTTAAATTACTCACAATATTCGTATGAGGCACTTGGGTATCAAGAAATAACATCGTAAATTGTTAAGCAACCACATTCGAATACCAGCTACCATTCAGGAATACTCTTTCTTTAATAGTTAACACAGTTATAGTTAAGATCAGTTAGTAAAATACGGGTATATAGAAGTGATATTTTAAACTAACGGTTACATGGCGCTTGAAACATGACATATTACACAAATTTAATAATGGAGCGCAAATAATTGTTTTTAGTCTAAAGTGATTAAAAATACACCCTATACATTACTTTCTACTTGGACTGCTCATTGTTGCAATCTTGATTGCTCATTGGTACAAGCTTTAAACTTAAAAAATTGTTTTCGAGTGGGGAACTTAAATAATAGAGAAACATCTCAGTGCGTGCACAATTTATTGCTTGACACATTTCATTATATCTTTGCATATCTCTTCTTCTTTTCCTTCTGTTGTTGAGAGAGGTTACCCGGCTCGCTGGCTCAGTTGGTTAAACCTGACTGCGCGGCGACCGGGTGACGAACTCCTTGTGGTCTGGGTTCACGCCCGGGGGAAGGCAGAAAAGCCACATTTCTCCTAGATTTACGATATCTATCGTGGAATCAAGGCCGAAGGTTTTCGATATTCATAATACCAAGCTAAGGAACCTAAGGGTTAACAGCTGATATTTTCGAAATATTTTTTAAAAAAAATGTTGTTTCCTGTCTTTTGCTAGTTGCGTTAGCTTGTGTTAATGTCAAACTTCGTTTGTGCTGTGTCTCTTTTAGTTCCTCAACCAATCTCTTTCTTGACCTAGAAATAAGTAGTGGCATTTGTGGGGGGAATCCCACGTTATGTAAACAAAAGGAGCACGTTGCTAATCTGATTCAGTTGTGAGTGTGCAGTGTAAAAATAGGAACTATTATTAATATATTTCGGTTACCTCCTGTTGTGTGCTTCATTTCTACATTGATGTAAACTATATAGCGATTCCTCGGACGATATACAGTGGAAACTGTCAGGCAGTAAATTGTGAAGTAAATTCTTTGTGTTCTAGTTATTTAAAATTGCAGGCAACACAATAGTAGAATTTTCACACACACACACACACACACACACACACAACACACACACACACCACACACACCACACACCACACACACACACACACACACACACCACACACACCACACACACACACACACATACACAGTTATCAAGTGACGCGTTTTTGATAGTCGAGTCTAAGCGATAGAGTTCTCTTTGTGGTACAATGTATGGTGGTAGTCTTGACAAATTTCCGAACCATTCTATTTGTTGTCTTTTGATTTAGTTTAGTACTGGTTCCGTCCCATCTAGTTTCTCAAAGTCGTATATTCCTGATCCTGTCTTGTCTTGTTACATGTAGAAATTTGTAGACATTGTATTTCTATTGTTTCAAATTTTTTTTTTAAGTTGCTGTTAATGTCCATGTTTGGCACTGAAAGCACAAATGTTGGTAAACTGTACTCTACTGAGTATATAGTAGTGTTTTGGTGTTATGTGTTACGTGTTATTTTCTGCCATATGGTGACATATGTCCAGTAATCTGATTTGATTTATTGAATCCATGTTCCATCTCTGCTACAGTTTTTCCATGGGATGATATTGTGCTCCCTGGATACTTGAATATCTCCCAGTACTTCGGAATGAAAATAGGGGCTTTTGAGCTGAAATTCTAGAGAAAGTCTCTCAGAATACCATGAAAAATGAAGAGAAAAAAACTGACATTTTAAAATTCTGAACATCACATAAGATTGGCAAGATAAACAACATCTTGTCTCGGAAGCTGAAATATTTTGGTCATATCAAACGCCATGGCGGATTGTAAAAGATAATAGCAGAAGGCGTGGTACTAGGAAGGAGGAGCAGACGCCGACTAGCACGAAGATGGGCACGAAATATATGTGACTTATTGGATATGAAATAATACCAGGCAGGATAGCTGACGAGAGACTGAATTTCTTTAGGCAGACCGTGGCGAGAGCGACGTTCTGCAAAGGATCTGCTACATGATGATGATGATGATGATGAGATATTTGCCTTCTGCTGACCTGCGTTGTTGCGTTTCTGATTCACAAGCGACACGACCATGTGACGTCATCATCTTCACACATATCTCTGGTTTGGTTTGGTTTGATTTATACAACGGATCGACATCATGGCACAAGGGTAGTAACCTATAAGTGCTCTGTTCTACTTCTAACTCAAGCCTAAGTCCAAAGAATCTCAGCGCAGTGCACGAACTCCGTAGCACCGGCGAGGATCCTGAAATACTTTAGGTAGATTTTTAACTTCAAACCTTGCCCGGGCAGCGCTGTTAGGCTACTCTTTTAGATTTTACATGCGCAACAATACATACGGGCGTCTGATCTCACTACCTAGAGATTAGGGGAAATTACTAGAGGTCCAAGTCCACGTTAAAAAAATCCCAAACTTTACGGGTGATTGAACCCGGAACCTAGCACTCGAGGCAGACACCATAGCTTGAGACCACGCAGCCCCCTCTACAGGATATGGTGTGAGCAGGTAGACCCTGAGATGGCCGCTGTATCGGAGGACAGAGCAAGACAGGGTCAGACTGATGAGCTAGTGTGTGGATACCTGAAACAAGTGACAAGTAACAAATGTTAAAGTTTCAGTGAGTATTTGGATTGTATGTTCTAGTCTTGCAGGGGTCGTAACTTTTTTTTTCATGTGTTGTGCTTTTGTTGCCTTGTTGGGGAGTGGCTGGTGGAATTGTTGCAACGCTGGGCTCTCTTGCGGGAAACCCGGGTTCGAATCCTCCGTAAAGCTAGGGGTATTTTTTTTTTTTTTTTTTTGTCGGGGGCAAAAATAAAATCCATATTTACACAGTCGAGGCGACAGCACTAGCCATGCGGCCTTGAAACCCCAAGCTCAAACCCCCCCCGTTTCCCTTCCTGTCGACACCGCAGAAGTAATACATAAGGGCAGTAATTGTTCT